CTTCGGTGTATAGGACGCAAGCAAATTTTGGGGTAAAAAAGTGTGTCTTATACACCGAAAAATATTTAGCTTATAGAACTGTATTGATTTGTTTAAGATATACTGCCTTATTAAAAGTTTGTAGTTTTATTTAGATTATGTACTAAGTAAAATTTTGAACTTCACTGCCATTGAAACTTAGGAAAGCAAGGTTTTAGATATGAAAATGAAATAAAATGCTCCTTGTTGTGCCTTCTGTATGTAATTGACTTTAAAGAGAGGTAAAAACAATAAATGATATTCTTATCTGGAGATAGCATGTTTGTTCATATTTTTACCCAAGTTTCAATTAGTTCACATCGAATTATGGAAATTCCTTTTTTTTTAAGGCACCCTTTATTTCACTTTATTGAGATAATTTTATATAAAAAGGCATTCTTGGTGGGATTTAACACCATCAAAACCCTTTAAGTGTAGAAAATTTAAGTTTGCTTTCTATAGCATTAAGCTTCCTTCTACATCGTGTACTTAGAAAGACAGAACTTGGAGTTTAGCCTCGTGCAAAATGCAAATTTCTGTACATTTTTTCAACTAATTAAAAAAAAATTGTCTGTAGGCAAGGACATTTTGCAGATTTCTGTATATTTGTGTCAATTAAATGAAAAATTATTATTAGGTGAGAGCAATCAACAGATTTCTACAGTTTCCACTGTTCTTTGAACTGAGTGTAAAATTTTTTCTAATCTGCCAAAGTAGTTGGACTGTGGATCTGACATTATGTGACATGCATCTTGCAGCTTTGGGCAAAATTCAACAAACAAATTCTCTTATGTAATTGTACATTTAGAAGAACATGTCTGACTTTTAAAGACTTACAAAACCTTTACAATGATAGGAACAGGATTCTAGTCTCTCTTACAAACACACAAAAGAACAACAGTATTTCTGTAAACTAAACCACATTCTTATTGAATATTTTATTATGTTGTTATGTTTAGACATAAAATAATGTTATATTATTTTCATTTATTATTATTGTTTTAGTTATGGTGATTCATTCTCTATCTTTGATCCAAAAATGTTGTATACTTTCAGCTTATAAACAATAGTTTATTTCTAAGTAAATGTAAAGAGCTGTTTCTAAACAAATAGAAGAAAAGCCTATTTTGAAACTAGTTATAATAACAATTTAAAGATACATTTTAATTCTCTATATTTTATATAAATAGATTCTTTAAGACATTTTACGTTTTTTTCAGATGTAGGAAAAAATATTTTCCTTTACTTTTATAATTTTCTGTGAGGTGAGGATGTTGTTAGAATACTTTCAATATTAAGACTCTTTATTTTGATGAATATGATTACTAAAGATGTACGTTTTGAAATAAAATTGTAGAATGTTGTATCAAAATTGAAGGGTAGAAATATAATTTTCATTTCTGTGTTCCAGATAACGTTGAAGATTGTGATATGGTTGAATTTTATTACAATATTTTTGATGTAGTTGGGAAGGGTGCAATGAAAAAAAAGAAATGTTAATGACCACAAGGTGATTAATTATTATATAATTTACTGCTAATTGTGTACTAAAATGATCATCAAACACTGAGTAGTACATGTCTGTGTATATTTAATTATTTTAGGGGGGTTCTATTATTAACTATTACAGAAAAAAGAGAGTATTACATAATTAATAAGTCAATGAAATGAGGTTTCAGTATTCTATTAAAACATGAAACTTATCATTACATATTATGAGGATTTTCTTTTCAAGATTTTATAATGCAGCTTAAGCTATTGATTTTGCTTACTAAACAGATGTTTTAGCTCAGACATCCTCATGTTTTTTAGTGTGAAGCCCTTTAAGACCTTAGACATCCTGGATGATGACACCACCTAAAGATGTAATACTGTTGACACAGATTTACTTCACTTGAGATGTTGGATGTGGCTTAGTTGCGTATAGGTTCTACCTGAAAAGAGTGGATACAGATTCAGACATCTGTAACTCAGATAATGT